TGGCTCCTTGGCAAGGATGTGTCTTGGCCCGGTGAGGTTCCCTTCCCCACCACACACGCCTGGGGGTTGGGTGGGTTGCCCTGCGACCCGGCGGCAGGCACCCCAGATTGACCTCCATCCAGCCTTGGGCCCGAGGTGAGGCGGGACTTGCCAGGCCCCCAGAAAGTGTGCCCCTGTACCGGGTAAACTGTGCCAGCCCCTGGCGAGAGCTGCTGGCCCTGTTCGGGGGGTGTTCAGATCCAGGATCTTGGTAGTGTTTCTCCCCGAGATGAACAGGGGGGCCCCATCATTTCAGGGAAGCCAGCAGATGTCTTTGTGGCCGTTGGGAAATCGGGGCTCCCAAGGGAGGACTTTGGAGCCAGCCCTGCTGGAGAGAGTGCTTCCCAGCCCGAAGGCCTTGTTGGGCCCCAGGGATGACAGGAAGTCTGAGAGCTGCGCTGGGGACCGGGTGTCTGCCCATGGATGGTCTGTGGGACTTGGGGGGTCTTCCTGGCAACCGGCCAATGTGGCCATTGGCTGATCACCACGGCCGAGGCTCCTCTCAGGGCAAGATGGCCCAAGGGACTTTGCTGGGACCCGCGGAAAGCACGTGGTGTAAAAGGTTTGTGTCCCAGAGGACAGCTCCCCTTCAGGAAGCCACCACTTGGGGTCCCTGGGGGCTCAGGCAGTTGAGACCCACTCTTGGTTTTGGCTCAGGTCGTGATTTCAGGGTCCTGGGATCAAGTCCCGTGTCACACTCTGTGCTCAGCTCAGAGTCTGCTCAGGATTCTCTCTCCCTCTCCTCCTCCCCCTGCTCACGTCCACGCACTCGCTCTCAAACAAACAAACAAATAAATAAATAAAATCCAAAACGAAAAAGAAAAAACAAACACACTCTTCATGAATCCTGGCTCCCCAGAAGGCCACCAAATGATATGGTTTTTTTTTTCTTTAAAGATTTTATTTATTAATTCATGAGAGACACAGAGAGAGGCAGAGACACAGGCAGAGGGAGAAGCAGGCTCCATGCAGGGAGCCCAATGTGGGACTCGATCCCGGGTCTCCAGGATCACGTCCTGGGCCGAAGGCAGGCGCTAAACTGCTGGGGCACCCAGGGATCCCACCAAGTGATATGTTGATGGAGCTGCATGGGCTCAGCTACCAAGAGGCCCTTAGCAGGGCTGGAGGGGGTGGGCAGGCGAGGGTGGGGTGTTGTGAGGTTTCAGGGTCTGCACAGAAGCAGGGTTCTCAGAGGCTTGGTGAGGATTGGGCAAATCTGAGGGCTACTCCTTCAGGACTGGTGGGCATGTAGAAGGTTGGAGGTGACTGGAGAATCCGTGCACCTTGAGCTAGATCTACCTGTGGCCTCAGGCCGTAGCTTCAGGGAACACCTGCACGTCATCGTCCAGAGCGTTTCCTGCTTTGTGTGCTGCTGAAATGTCGTGCGGCAGAGACGGTCTTGTGCCACGTCCATCCGTTGTTTTTTTTTTTTTTAATTTTTTTTAATTTATTTATGATAGAGAGAGAGAGAGAGGCAGAGACATAGGCATAGGCAGAGGGAGAAGCAGGCTCCATGCACCGGGAGCCCGACGTGGGATTCGATCCCGGGTCTCCGGGATCGCGCCCCGGGCCAAAGGCAGGCGCTAAACCACTGCGCCACCCAGGGATCCCTGTTATTTTTAAAGGGAGGATAAATGTGTGTCTTTCAATCATCATAGTTGTGTTTTCTAATATGTTACATATTGAGAGAGAGAACCTGCCAAAACAAACGTTTTCTGGGATCCTTGGCAAGTTTTAACTGTGCACAAGTGTCCTGAGGTCCCAGGTTGAGGAACCACTGCTGTAGAGTCAACAGGAACACCCCTGCAGATCCACAGGCCAGGGCCCCCAGTCCTGGTGGAAACGGGGCATCTAGGGGGCAACCACAGGTCCACGCAGTTCTGAGGCGGACATTCAAACCCGGCTGTTGAGAACAGCACCTGTTGGAATGACAGCAGCAGGAAGCTGGTGGACGCCAGGGTGCGGACAGGGAACCAGGGAGCCCGGCTGGGCGCGGCCCCCGGAGGTCTGCGTGTCCCCTCACCGGCAGCTCTGCCTCTGGGCCATGTCCCCGGGATCCTCCTGAGGGGCCCCAGTGGGGAGGGAGGACACCTCCGTGGGTGTGGCCCGCAGGAGGGCTGGGCAGGAAGGAGCAGCAGCGTGCGCGGGGCCCGTGCAGGACAGGTGCTGAGGGAAGAGGCAGTCTGTGAATGAGGCACGTGGACCAAAAGGGAAAAACCAACATTCAGAAACTGCACACATTTTGCCAGAACCCACGTCCCCAAAGGCTGCGGAAGAGCTATTCCTGGCAGGGATGGATCTGAGCCGGAGGAAACGTGGGAATGATGAGCAGAGAAAGCGAACGTGTGCGGACAGGAAAGTCCTCGCCCTCGGACCCATGAAACCGAGTCCCCGGGACCGTCCCTGGTCACATCTCCACCGAAGTAATTGCAGTTCTGAACTTGGGGTTTATCCTTCTGATGAGCACATGCATACTTTTACAACTGTATGCGTTTCCCTGGATACCAGTCACGGTCGCGGCGTGTGTCTTCAAGCAGGAAGTTGGTTGGCTTATTTATTTATTTACTAAAAGATTTTATTTATTTATTCATGAGAGACACACAGAGAGAGGCAGAGACGGAAGCAGGCTCCATGCAGGGAGCCCGACGTGGGACTCGATCCCGGGTCTCCAGGATCACACCCTGGGCCAAAGGCAGCGCTAAACCGCTGAGCCACCCGGGCTGCCCCAAGCAGGAGGTTTAAACTGCAAGACAGATTTTAAGGCAAGTCTCAACGTGAATCCAGCCCAAGGGTGCAGACAGGGGGCCTCCCGCCATGGCCACGCAGTGGGGACAGTTTGGAGGGGCTCTTTCTTCTGCCTCAGTGAAGCCTGCAGATGACGCAGCCTTGGGGCGGAGCCAGAGCGACAGCGAGGCTGCTACAGGTTCTTGTTAGTTTGAAATCATGGTAAAATTCACATAAATGTACCATCTTCACTGTCTCTAAGTCCACAGCTCAGGGGCACTATGCACATTCACACTGTTGTGCAGCCGTCACCACCGTTCATCATCCCAAATAGAGACTCTGTCCCCCTGAGATACTGACCCCATCCCTCCCCCAACCCTGTGACCACCGTCCACTCTGTCCCCAGGAGACACTGGCCCTGTCTCTCCCCTGGCCCTGTGACCGCCATCCACTCTTTGTCCCCAGGAGACATGGACCCCGTCCCTCCCCCGGCCCTGTGACCACTGTCCACTCTCTGTCCCCAGGAGACATGGACCCTGTCCCTCCCCTGGCCCTGTGACCCTCATCCACTCTCTGTGCCCAAGAGACACTGACCCTGCCCCTCCCCTGGCCCTGTGACCCATCTACTCTCTGTCCCCAGGAGACACTGACCCGGTCCCTCCCCTGGCCCTGTGACCACTGCCCACTCTCTGTCCCCAGGAGACACTGACCCCATCCCTCCCCCTGGTCCTGTGACTACCATCCACTTTCTGTCCCCAAGAGACACTGACTCCATCCCTCCCCTGGCCCTGTGACCAGTGTCTACTCTGTCCCCAGGAGACACTGACCCCATCCCTCCCCTGGCCCTGTGACCACCATCCACTCTATCCCTGTGAATCTGGAGACTCTAGGGCTCTTGTGTGGGTGGAATCATGCAGGATGTGTCCCCTAGTGTCTGGCCTGTGTCACCCAGCATCACGTCCCCCAGGTCCACCCATGCTGTGGCAGGTGTCAGCACGTCCCTCCTTGTTCAGGCTGAGTGACCATCCAGCGTGTGGATGGCCCATGTCCCCCCGTCCATCCCCCCCACCCCCCGAGGTCCGGAGCGGCTGCTGCAGCCACATCCCCACCCATAGAGCAGGTGGTTGTTTCCGTAGGTTCGTGCTGACACCTGTCACTTCCTGTGTTTTGTGCTGAGAGTACTCGGCCTGGTCCAGCATGAAGCCTGTTCCTCAAGGCCAGGGGGCTTGGCCTGGGTGCCTGGGCCCACCCAGGGGAGCCCCGCCCCTTGCTCTGTCCAGGCCAGAGGCGGAGGGGCTGAGCCACACATCCGTCTTGGGGGGATGGGCCCAGGGATAGAGACCCCATGGCCTCTTTCCCGTGCGGGGTGTCCAGAGCTCCCTGGACCCTGCTCCCCTTGTCCACAGGACGGGGCCCCGGCCCCCAAGCCAGTGGACTGGACACCAGATGTGGGTCCTGGGCTGACATTTGCGTCTTTCTTTATGGTGTTTAATTTTCAGAGATGATGCCTGAGGTGCCGGAAGCAGGACTTTATGACCTTGGGTGAACCCGGAGCTGGCGGCTGCGGCCTATTTGCTTTGTGAATAGCGTCAGTCCTGCCCTCTGCTGCCCCGACTCCCATGGTGGCGTCCTCCCTGTCCTTGCTGTCCCCCAGTCCTTGCTGTCCCTGCTGTTCCCAATGTCCCTGCCATCCTCACCGTTCCCGCTGTCCTTCCCGTCCTCGCTGTCCCCACCATCCCCGCTGTTCCCGCCATCCTCCCTCTCCCTGCCATCCTCGTCATCCCCACTGTCCTTCCCATCCTCGCTGTCCCCGCCGTCCCTGCCGTCCCCGCTGTCCTCCCCTTCCCCACTGTTCTCACCATCCTCACTGTCCTCGCCATCCTCTCCGTCCTCCCTGGCCCCACCGTCTCCACCGTCCCTGCCGTCCTCCCTGTCCTTGCCGTCGTGGGGACCTGGTGCAGACCGAGGGCCCTGGTGGAACTGCGCAGCATTTCCGTCCCACTGTCTCAGGGATGATGTGTACCCGATTCTCCTTAAGTAACAGTGACATCTCTGGACGTAAAGCACTGGCAGGCGGCATGGCAACGTGACAGGTGCAGAAACGCAAGGCCGCCTCTGTCAGTCTGGATCCTCCATGGGGGTCCCACTGTGAGCAACCTGGGGCCCTGTCCTGGTCTCCACAGGGGGCCTTTGGGGGTGAGGAGTCTGAGGCACAGCTTCCCGGTGTCTGCCCTTAGAGCCTGGAGTCTCCGGCCCCTGGATGCTGGCGCCCACCTGCTGCTGCCCTTGCTGCCGAGAAGTGACGAGAGGGGCAGGGCCAGAGGTGGGAGGATGGGGGACTGCCTGCCACCCATGGACACCCTGCCAGCGGGATATCCTTCCTGATGACCCACGGGACTCCTTGAACCTGAGCCGATGGGCAGAGGCAGGTGAGGGTCCCCCTGCCTGGAGGATGGTGCCAACTGGTCCTCCTGGGCACACAGAGGTTCACCCCCGACGGGCAGGCCATCGCGCTGGGTTGTGGTCGGGCTGGAACAGCATTTGTCGGTTCTCTTGCTCTGTGCTCGTACGCATGGGTGCTCCTCACTGAATTTCACATTGAATATTTGGTGAGAACATAATTTTTTTTTATTATAAATTAATTTTTATTGGTGTTCAATTTACCAACATACAGAATAACACCCAGTGCTCATCCCGTCAAGTGTACCCCTCAGTGCCCGTCACCCATTCACCCCCACCCCCCACCCTCCTCCCCCTCCACCACCCCTAGTTCATTTCCCAGAGTTAGAAGTCTCTATGTTCTGTCTCCCTTTCTGATATTTCTCACACATTTCTTCTCCCTTCCCTTATATTCCCTTTCGCTATTATTCATATTCCCCAAATGAATGAGAACATACACTGTTTGTCCTTCTCCGGTTACTGTGGCCAAGTTCAAAAAGGGTGTTGCCTGAGTTCTCCTCTGGGATTTTGATGGAATCTTGTCTCACATTTAGATCTTTCATCCATTTTGAGTTTATCTTTGTGTATGGTGCATGAGAGTGGTCCAGTTTCATTCTTCTGCATGTGGATGTCCAATTTTCCCAGCACCATTTATTGAAGAGACTGTCTTTCTTCCAGTGGATCGTCTTTCCTCCTTTATCGTATATTAGTTGACCATAAAGTTCAGGGTCCACTTCTGGTTCTCTGTTCTGTTCCATTGATCTATGTGTCTGTTTTTGTGCCAGTACCACACTGTCTTGATGAACACAGCTTTGTAGTACAACCTGAAATCTGGCATTGTGATGCCCCCAGTTATGGTTTTCTTTTTTAAAATTCCCCTGGCTGTTTGGGGTCTTTTCTGATTCCACACAAATCTTAAAATAATTTGTTCTAAGTCTCTGAAGAAAGTCCATGGTATTTTGATAGGGATTGCATTATACGTGTAAATTGCCCTGGGTAACATTAACATTTTCACAATATTAATTCTGCCAATCCATGAGCATGGAATATTTTTCCATCTCTTTGTGTCTTCCTCAATTTCTTTCAGAAGTGTTCTGTAGTTTTTAGGGTATATTTTGAGAACCATTTGAATGGTAAATGGTTCTCCAACATTTTATTTTCAGGTTGTAGGTGTCCTTCTGTCTAAAATGAGTCTCTTGTAGACAGCAAATAGATGGGTCCTGCTTTTTTTATCCAGTCTGAAACCCTGCGCCTTTTGATGGGGTCATTAAGCCCATTCACGTTCAGAGTTACTTGAACTTCTTCTTAAAGGGGAGTTTTAAGAGTCCCCCTTAAAATTTCTTGCAGAGCTGGTTTGGAGGTCACATATTCTTTCAGTTCCTGCCTGTCTTGGAAGCTCTTTATCTCTCCTTCCATTTTGAATGAGAGCCTTGCTGGATAAAGTATTCTTGGTTGCATGGAGAACATAATTTTTAACGGCCGTGAAGTGTGTCATGGCTTGGCTTCACCACCCCTCACTCAGCCAGGCCCGGTGGCGGGGGGACGGCAGGCGGCTGCAGCTCTGGTGTCAGGGACCTGAGGGTGTGAACACGGAAACCACAGGCTCCAGGGTGCAGGCGCGTCTGTGACCTGAGGGCCCCCATGGTGCTCAGCACCCCACTAGTGGAGCAGTCACGGCCCCCACTGGATGGCTGGAAATGCCTGAGCAACTGCCGACACGCAGAGCAGCACTGCAAGTCCCTTCCTCTGCATTTTCTTGGGACGTGTCTTCTCGTGAGTTTGGTCACGGCTCCCTAACAACTCGAGGCTGGGGAGCTCAGGGCAGCATCGATTGGAGGCCCATTGTGCAGTCGGAGCTGGAGAGGCTGCTGCACGGTGGGGTCGGGACCCACCGCCCCTGAACGAGGTGACCCTGGGCTGGAGCTGCGTCAATGGCCCAGCCTGCACGAACCTGCCCCAATGGGTGGTGACCGGGATGTGTGGGGCCTCTGGGAACTGGGTCAGTTCAGAGCCCGGGTCCCACGGTCCCCAGAATCTGTGTATTCTCACCCCCTGACCCCCAGGGCACAGTCACCCCAGTAAAACCTGCAGGTCCTTTGGGGAAGGCCGGGAGGAGGGGACCAGCGGACGTTTCCGGCACTGCCCAGGGTCTTCCCTCCAGGCCAGAGTCTGGTCCATGAACTGGCTTAGCCTCGAGGTTGACCAGCATGGGGCCATGTGTCTCTGTTGTCGGGATGAATCCTCCCGAAACTGGGATGAATGCTCGCACCGCCCAGGATGTTTCTTTTTCTTTTTCTGTTTCTTTTTCTTTTCTTTTCTTTTCTTTTTTGACATTTTTTTAATTTAAATTCAGTTTAGTTCACATACAGTGTATTATTAGTTTCAGGGTAGAATTTCATGATTCATCAGTCGCATAGAATCCCCAGGGCTCATCCCATCTCGTGCCTCCTTCATGACCGTCCCTCAGGGACCCCGTCCTCCCACCCTTGCCCTTCCAGCGACCCCCTGACCACCCAGGACCCTTCTGCTCCTACAGATGGAGTGGGGATCCTGTGTGCGTCCCATCCACGTCCCTGCTGGGAATGCCCCGAGCAACCAGCCATCTCTGCAGGGCTCTGTGAGCCTGAATGTGCCGCCTGCTGCCTGGACTCTGCTGTCCACCCCGGGGAGCTGCGTCCGGCTTGCATTTGGTGGCCGAGTGCCACTGCGTGGCCCTGCCCCCAGGATCCAATTGCTGTCATGGTGTTTAGGATTCCCAGGTCAGAGGCTGCAGATCCCCCACGAGGTGCACCTGCAAAGTGACCGCAGAGCCCCTCGAGCCTGCACAGATGCCCCCTTGGTCGTGGTGAGACAGGCATGCCCGGGACCCCTTGGGGCAGGTGAGGGCTCCACTCTGGCCTCAGTCTCCCTGTGCCTGGATCCCCCGGACAGATGGTGGCTCTGGCTTTTCCCGCCTTGCTCACCGTGGCCCCACTGGCCTGGGTTTCAGCCAACCCGCCACCCTCTGCCATTGTGAAATGCAGGATCTCTGCTGGGTGGGCCCGTGGCTGCAATGTTGGCCTGACACCCCTTGACGCCGTCCTCTGCGCAGGCCCTCCTCTGGGACTCAGCCCAGTGGCTTGTTTCCATCAGGGTTTGGTGGGGATGGTCATCAGGTTCCCCTGTGTGGCTGCTTTCTTCCATCTCATGAGCAAAGAGGCTCCCTCCCCTGAAGGCCAGGTCAGCATTGGAAGCTTTGTCATCTTATTTTTACCACATAAGCATTGCTCACATCAAAGATTCTCACTAAAAGTTATTTTAAAACTGAAAATTGTTTCCTTTCTTTTTTAAAAGATCTTATTTATTTATTCATGAGAGACAAAGAGAGGGAGGCAGAGACACAGGCAGAGAAGCAGGCTTCCTGCGGGGAGTCCGATGGGGGACTCGATCCTGGGACCCAGGGATCATGACCTGAACCAAAGGCAGATGCTCAACCCCTGAGCCACCCAGGGGTCCTGAAAATGATTTCCTTTCTGTGTTGAGTAGACACAGAGGAGTGCGGAAGCCGCTTCCCGCTGCCAGCCTCCCTGCCCACTGTGTACCGGCCACGGAGCTGAGAACCAGGAGAAGCAACTCACAGCTCTGGGGCCTGAGATCTGTAACCGGAGGGGTGTGGGCGGGCGTGGCCCCTCCTGGAGGCTCCTCAGGCACATCCGTTTCTGCTTCTCTGGCTTCTGGTGGCCCCTGGGCCATGGCCACTCCGCTCCAGCCACTGCTGCCATGCTCAGTGGCCTGCATGTCTGTCTGTGTGTCCCTTCCTGTGTCGGGTAAGGATGCTGCCACTTGGTTTGGGGCCGCCCTAAGTCCGGGTGGTCTCGTCTTGGGGTCTTCCACACACATTTCCAGATAAGGTCACGTTCGAGGTTTCCAGGTGGCCTTGTCTTTGGTGGCATCGTGGGGGCACCACAGGGCGTGAGGACAAGCATAAGGATGCTGAGTCTCCTTCGCAAACCCGGTAGTGACTCGAATTCTGTTCTGCATCAGGCCTGGGAGGTGGTGAGAAGCGTCTGGACCCCAACGTTTTCCATAGTATCTGCTGGAATGAACACGCTAGAAGGCAACCATCCTCACCCTGGTTGAGATCCCCAAGTGGCAGGAGGAGGATGAGTAGGAGGCCGGGACACGGCCAGTCCCTGCCTGGCTGAACCACTGCGTCTAGCATCTGGTGCCCCCTGGAAGGCCTCAGAGGACAGAGGGACGGTCCTGCCCACGTCCCCATTCACTTGGGGCAGATGGCCCCTTGGTAGCACTGTAGGCCCCAGGGACAGGTGCCTCTGTGCCAAGGATGCTCCTGATCCGGGGTCTCCTCCACCTGCAGCAGGAAACATGCCATCCTTGCCTGTGGCTTCAGCCTCTCCTTGAGTTTAGCCAGCTGCAGTCGCAGGTCTGTGCCCAATGCTCTGATCAGGCTCTCAGCTCAGTGTCAGGAAGGTGGACAGACCTGGGCTACGACCCCCTTATCCCGGTGCCTGTCTCCTCCTTGCCTCTCAGCCTGCAGCCACCCCTCTGTGCTCGCTCTGCTCTGTGGGACCCTCTGAGACCCCTTCCAGCTGCTTCCCTGAGGTGGGGGCACAGGCCAGGGCGTGGGGAGGGGCATGGGGAGCACAAGGGGGCATTGTGGGGACAGTGGGCACCTGGCCCCATCCAGCCCCACATGCAGGAGCTTGGGTGGTTGAGTGCCCTGGGTCCCGGGGACCCCACCACTCCCCTTCTGTTCCTGGGGATCACAGCCTTCCAACACCAAGTAATAATGCCTCATGTAAACTCCCCTCCTCCGAGACACCTGGCATGCTTCAGGCTTCTCCCACCTGGTAGAAGTTTCTCTGTTGTGCTTTGGGAAAGCGGGTCCTGCCTTGCTTCTGGGCCATGTGGGGCTGCCTGGCTGGGACAGCAGGTGGGTCCGCCAAGCTCGGACTCCCCAAGAGTGGATTCCCGGCCTCCCACGGGCACCACAGGGCTTCGAGAGGCTGTGGACGGGAAGTGGGCGTGGGGGGAGCAGCCTCTGGAGGCCTGGGGAAGGCTGCACGAGGGCAGCGGCCACTGCAGTGCCTGTTTCTGTCCACAGCCAGGGCCTCCTGGGGATTCGTCTGTCATCTGTGGCCAGCTGGCAGAGGACTGGGGCCCAGTTCAGGGGTGTCTGCAGAGTGTGCAGGCTGGTCCCCCAGTAAGATGGAAGCCAGAGTACTGGCTCCACTGCAAGTATCCCCAGGAAGCTCAAGCCAGAGAGCAGAGTCTGAGGCACAGAACTCAAGTCTCACTGTACCCGACAGCCGATACTGGTGGCCTCACCCTGGCCACTCTCCGCAAAGCTGGACTGTCTTCATGGTCTATTGGTCTGGGGGCAAGGGGAGGATTTTCCCACTGGTGACCTTACCCCCACTGGTCAGAGTGTCACCTGCTGGGTGGCATCCCCACAACCAGGTGTGTGCATGAATGGGTGCTGGCCAGGTATGCACGGGGGACGCTGGGGAAGACCTGCGTGGGAGGGGGCTCTCGGGTAGGACGTGCCTGCAGGGAGCCACTTGGCGGCCACCCAGAGTTGCTGCCCAGAAGACCAGAGGTGGTGTGTCAGGGGTGCCCGATGGCCTGGGCATTGGTTGGCTGCTGGCCTGGACTGTGAAGTGGCTGGAGGTCTGGATCCACGCCAGTTTCCAGGCAGTGGCCAAAGATGTGGCTGACTGTTCCCTGGCCCAGAACACAGGGCTGTGGGGCTGAGGGGTCTGGGGAGGAGGGGCTGCACGGGCCTCCGCAAGGGGGCAGAGGCCTGTGTGTCCCACGGGAGTGCCCTCCTGAGATGCCACAGCAAGCCGGTGGGGGGCATGACCAGTTCAGAGGTCATCACCTCCTTCTCGGGTCTCTCTGTGGCTTGCTCAGTGGCCCTCGGGGCAGGACAGGGCTCTGCACAGCTGAACACACACAGGGTCCCTGGGGCTAGGCCGGCCCCGGGTCCTCATCCATCACGGAGGGCCAGAAACTGGTCCCCACGGTTTTTCCAGGTGTGGATTTGCTTTTCCTGCCGCAGAACTTCTGTTAGCCCATCGTCCATGGATGCAGCAGCATCTCCTCTGCTGCCGTGGACCCTGCCCCCGCGGCGTCCTGCTGGTGCGCTCATCTTGGGACAGTGAGGCGCAGCGAGGCTTCAGGCTTCACCCAGAAGCATCGGTCCGGTATTGAGGCGGGATGGCCCAGGAAGACTGGCTCACCAGGATGAGCCATGGTGGCGCCGGGAGACTGGCCGGGGAGGGGTGGGCTGTGTGCTGGGCAGCGATGTCCGTGCTGCTACCCGGTGGCCTGCTCTTCGAATGTGACTCTCCTTCCAGCCAGAGTCTTGGTTCTGAAGGGAGGGCCGCCCCCACCTGTGGACACAGGATGAGATAATAGAATCGTGGGTTGAGGGTCGCCTGGGGACCTCTCCTGCCTGTGAGCCACCAGGTGAAATGGGAAAGGTCGTCTTGGCTGGGGCAGTGGGTCCTCACATCTGCGGGGAAGTCAGACTGTGGCCCAGACTGGGAAGAAATACATGGAATCCAGAATAAATGCTTGTTTTCACAAACCTTCTTTTGGGATAACGTTTGGCTTACAGAACAGTTGCAAAAATAGCACAGAGACAAAGCGAGTGCCGCCCTGAGGTCCCCAGCAGCGCCACACTCAGCCACATGAGTAACCTTGTTCACCTGCGGACCATGCAGACGCCATCCCCACGCCTCTGACTTTTCCGTTGTCCCTTAGTTGTGTCATGACTCCTCTGCTGGGTGGCAGCTCCTCCTGTGTTCCCTTGTCTCCTCTGACCTTGACACTTTGAACAGCCCTGGTCAGGTATTTCCTAAAACGTTCCTGAGTTTGAGTTTGTTGGATGCTTTTTTCACGAGCGAGTGGAAGTTTTGCAGAAGTGAGGTGCCATCTTAGCGCACTGTATTGGGGTGCGTGTGATGTGGCTACACCGGGTTCCTGGTGGGGCCAACTAACCTCTGTCGCGTGGACGATGGGCTATCTGCCACGTTTCTCCACCACTTCCACTTCCTACCTTTTTTCTACTTCTTAGCTAATTTATTATTTTCTTACTTATTAACTGATGAATATCTGCAGGAAGTAACTTGAGTCTGTGCATATAACTTGTTTCTCTTTGAATGTGGGCCGCTGACCGCAGTGTCCATCAGTAGACACTTTCTGTAGCAATGAATCCCACGGGACCTGGTGGTGATTTCTCCTCCCCTCTCTCCTTCTAGCTTAAGGAATTGGAATTCCTCTCTAGGAATGAGCTGTTCCTTCTCTGGTATTTGCTTATCCAATCATTTATATTACAACGGACTTGTTGATATTTGTTATAGTCCCTGGGTTATAATCTCATTTTACAGCTACTAATTTTTTTGCTTAAATTTCTCCAGCTCCGGCTTTTGGGAGTGGCCTCAGATGGCCTCTGAGCCCTTCTGACACACTCCATCATTTTTTTGAACACTTCCTTATTTTCTGCCACCACAAGTTTATCTCATAATTTCCTGTCCAGGAGCTCAACTACTTCTCCAGGGAGCCCTGGTTCCTGTTATTGGAGAAGTGTATTTAGAAACCAAGCCCTGGGAGGCACCTGGCTGCCTCAGTCAGTGGAGCGTGTGACTCTTGATCTCAGGGTCATGAGTTCAAGCCCCACGTTGGATGTGGAGCTTACTTAAAATAATTTTTTTTTTAAAAAAAGCAAGACCTGGGCACTGGGTGTGGTCACTACTCCTTGGGTGTAGGTCCTCTCAGTGGGTCACACTAGAAAAATACATGTATGTATGTTACCTACATACACAAATCCATCCGTTTCTCTAATTCTACCTATTATTGATCATTTACCCAGTACATCTTACTTTAAGACACTGGGGGTGGGGCATTTTGTTACGCAGCAATAGCAATAGTAGAAGCACTTGGTGGGGACCTTGTGAACTTTATTTCCAGGCTCTGTGGCCAGATGGCTTCCGAGAAGACACTGTTGAAAGGTGGGGAGGGGGGAATGCATTTCCTTCCCTTTCCAGCCTCTTCAGAGCCTCTCTCCAGTTGCAGAGGATGGCTCCCACCTGTGTCAGCTCCCTTGGGCACACCCACCAACAGTCATGTCAACCCCCTCAGTGCCTCTTCTGCCCTGCCTCCAGCCACAAGAGTGGAAGCTATTCTCTGCTGCTCCTTTTTTTAATAAGATTTTTTTTTGAAGATTTTATTTATTTATTCATGAGAGACAGAGAGAGAGA